TTTTTTACTGAATGCATCGGATGAATAACGATCAATGAATGATTCGGAGGAAAAGTTGGGTGGTATAGCATGTACTCTAATAGTGGGATTTCCATATCCTGTGTAGAGAGAATTGAGAGAATACTTCAAATACTTTGTCTTGTCTTGCTTTGTGATGTTGAGGGGTTGACCTGAGATGCCTATGATGATCTGACTCTGGGGTTAATGGTGCTGTACCTTCTCAAAAGCCCACCTTGTTCCAGGCAAAGATCGAGCGCCTACTTAGAGAATGTCAAAGAAATCCATAACCCAGAAGTCTACATTCGCGTCAAGTGGTCAACAACTTTCGATCATATATCAACGTAGGCTGCAGGGTGTTGTTTCCTCGAACGTGGTGGACTCCTCATACGGATGTCAGTTAGTGCATGCCTTCAGGGTACAGGCATTTCCACAAGGTCGCACTGTGGCTGTCCCGCCGGCGTACTTCAAGACACGAACTCCAGCCCATCTCGAGATCTCATCCAGAATAGCTCATCGCATGAAGGTATTACATACAGGCAGACAAGAGCTAAGAGGGCAAGTCATAACATATACTTGATGCAAGCACTATGAACAGATAACTCCACCCAAGTCTATACTTGCAGACATAAACAAAGGAGATCAAACAAGACATATAACCACATATGCACCGCCGTGATGCACCGCGAGCCCAAACGCCAGTCGTGGGTATATAGTGCGAGACCGTAACGCGAAACCTGATACACCTGGGACCTTCATGAAGAGAAGAACTGAACAAATTCCCCCACTACAGTTGAAAGCAGAAGTAGAGAAGCTGGCCGCCTTCATCAACGTAGGATGCCTTGATCTACTCTGGCTGTAGTGTAAGCTGCAAGGAACACGCTCAGTTCCCACCTCCACCTCCGCGTCCCCTACCACGACCCCTTCCATTCCCACTTGCAGTCCGTGTCATCGCAACACCACCACCATGGCCGCCAACAGCCAGCGAGTCCCTCTCCCCATAACGACCCAGAGGAGTGTTGTTACCAGCATCCGACCAACCCGCCATACTACTCTGTGCGCTCATCGGAACACCGCCTAAGCTAGCGCCAACCTCAAGATGCGGCGCTGTACTCCTAAGCGCACTCGTCATCTCATGGACAGGTTCCGAGAAGTTCGGTGGCTGGACCTGGTAGTCGCGCGCTTTAACGGGGTTGCAAGCAGCTTGCAGAAGTTTCTCGTTAATATCGTCGTCGGGCGGTGCGTCTCTAAGCATCAGCTTCAGGTCTTGTTCGATATCGTGTGCGCCGAGGGGAGGTGGTGGCGGTGCGGAGGCATTGATCTTCTGGAAGATCTTAGCATCTAGAACAAAGGGCGGGTTATAGATGAACGGAGGTATTTGGCCGCTCACTATAGCCGCCGTGGGGTTCAGAGCTGAGCGTGTGGCGCCGCGGGTCGCGTGTGGGTTGGACGAGTGTTGGCGCATCATGTCGGTTGCGCCTGGGACGTCGTCGGAATCTTGGTCTTGGTCCATGGCGTCGCCGTTCTCGGATGCGTGCTCGCCGTTTGCGCCGTTGGTGTTGCCGTTTGTTGTGGCTTCCTGCGGTGCGGCTTCTGTGTTCTTCATCTTGGCGAAGAAGTGCGACGCGGCCATGGTGGCTTGGTTCATGGCCATGTTGAGCTCCTTCTCGCTGAAGAGGCGCTCGAGGGAGTACGCAGACGATTCGAACTGAGCATTGACGGTGCGCGCTTTGGCTTCGCGGAAGGGTGAGCCGATGCCCATTTCGGTAGGGCGGCCAGATGGACCTGGCGAATCGTTGTCCTGGTCTTCGTACAGCTTGCGCTTTCTCTTGTGTTCAGTAGCAGCAGCCAGCTCCTCCGCGTCGCCAAACTTGTGTCCTGTCCTCCTGGTCTTTCGCGGCGCTTGCGGTCCGCCAGGGCTTGCGGGATGCCCTATGCTGAATTGATTGGGATGAAGGAGCATAGCGTTGCTGTCAGACAGATCCAGTTGCTCCTTCTCGCGCTTCAGCCTGTTTGTCCGTTGTTGTATGCTTGCGACTAGTCGTTCGCGGATGGTGGCGGCGAGCAGCTTGTGCTCTTCTTCGGCAATTTGGACTTTGTAGTAGTGTGAGTTTTCGATCTCGTTCTTGGTGTTCTCGTGCTTGTTCTGCGTAATCGGCGGTTAGCGTCTCGTGCCAATACAGCGGGAAGCCCTGGGACTCACCCAGAGCATGGTCAGGTTGTAGTCGCGCTCTTCCATCGCATCGTTGACGGCGTCGACAAAGCGCGAATAGTGTTTTCCACATTGCGCAATGTAGTCGGTACCCGCGCTTGGTGCGGTAGGGACGTTGTTCCCCATGATCTGCGAGACGAGCTCGGCGGCCTCTTCATTGCTATCCTCGAGCGGCTGGTTCGCATACGGGTCGGCTTTCATAATCAGGTTGATGTCGGCTTGGAGTGCGGCGAGCTGGGCTCTGTAATGACTGTCCCGGTTGTCGGAGAAGGTAGCCATCATCTCAGCCAGCTTCTCGGCGAGCATGTTGCGCCGTTTGTCGCGCTTCGAAGGCTGTGGCTGAGGGGATGTCGCAGAGTGACCCAGCGGAAAGTTGTCCGCTGGCGACGGACTGCCATTTCGAACCATGGCGATAGGTGATGCCCTCGAGGGTCTAGGAGGCGTTGATCGTCTAAAGCAGGGTAGTCGCAGCGCTGCGCGTATGCTGGGGTCGGTTTGCTGCGTCGAGAAGAAGTTGGAGTCAGCTCGCTATATGACACTAGAAATGTGACAAATCACAACTGCGCGTTTGACGAAGCAGTGCGACAGAGGTGCGTACGGCGGGATGTGGTTTGCAAGAGCGAAGGGTCGGCAATCGAGCATCACACACCTGCCAGGGTCTAGCGTTCAGGAACAGCGCTAGGACCAATTCGGATGAACCGAAACAAAACCTACCAAAAAAGCTGTCTTTGCGCCTTAGAAGCTTGACATCAGGCATACAGACAACAATAAGAGAGAGATTATGATCATTTTTTCTAGACAGTTGGGACGATTCAGCACGTAAGAGCGCCATTCAATATAACCGGAACGGACCCACTTGAATTATATCCTATAATGATCAAATCCTAAAGGAGTGACGTCTTCTCTAACACCCTACATTCATACACGCTGTATGCTTTCCATTACCCTACTCCAACTCGTTGTCCATCTCCGCCTGGTTATTGTACCCTCTGCAGCCGTGAAAGCTCGCCTACCGACACCACCATTTCCATCCATCGACCTCGGTCTAAGCTCTGAAGCGCCTTGCAAAGTCGTCGCACAGCTCAAGCGTCAGGGTTGCCTCGCCGTGATAATATTCAGTGCCCTCGGGCCTGTGATCTCCGACCCAAACAATCTCCGTGAAAAGCAGACCGTCGGTGTTGTGAATGCGAAGCTTCTCGTCTTTGAAGGCTAACGCGTTTGGGTCGTTGCTCGGCGTGTTGCTCATGCTGTACCACAGATCTTCTCCATTCAAAGAGTACTGCAGGTTCAAGATCGGCTCCTTCGAAAAGGCGCCCTGCTTGATGACCTGGACGCTGACGCCAACGTTGTCGACAGCAGGTTTCTGTGCCTCGGTGGATGTGTCGCCGGGCTGAATCTCCTTCAGCGGAGTTGCATCCTTCTGAACGGTTGAGACCCAAACAGAGTAGTGGCACTTGTTGTTGATGACGATGTCGGCCGCGAAAGCGGTGTTGGCTATCAGAGCGAGAGAGCCGATGAGAGTTGGGGAATGCATCTTGGCGGAGTGAGTCTCGAGATAAGGCTGGAAGCGAATAGAAGATTTGGTGATAGTGGCTTGTTTGTGAAGAAGCTTGAATGAGTTGCTTGAGCTTGCCTCTATACATACCGTCCCTCTGACCCTTTCTTATACATAGCGAGGACGTCTTAAAAAGCCAATTGTACTTCCTTCCGGATTTGTGTACGGTATCGCAGCCAAAACTAGAAGGCGCTGCTATCTGTACGATGCTGCGACCCAAACTAAGGTGGCTGTGTCTGGTCGCGGGTGTGATGGCAGGTCATCTCCTGTGGATATCTGGATGATCTCATAGATCATGTGAGGAGTAACGTGCCCATCATAGCAGAGTGACTTTTGGAAACTGCAAGGTAGGGTAGAGCCCCGCTTGTCCGGCGTGGCACAGCAGCCAATATGGCGAGGCAATCATTGTATCACGATGTTGATGCAGGTACAATCGTGCAGATACCCGCACATACAGGCGGTGGAGAGATCTCGATGGCGAATAGGAGAAGAGATGGATAGTAGGAAGATGACAAGACAGTTTCGAAGCAATAGTCTCCGGTATGAACGCGTGACCGACGGGAGCTAACCGGTGAGCGAAAGAGAATTGCGCGTCAATAAATGTTGTGGTAACGAGATATCACAAAGCGTGAGACGGGTGTTCCTACGACAATCCTGTCAACTGTCATCATGCGGGTGACTGTACTCGATCAACATTTCCCTGTACAAACACACGATGCGAGCTTCCTAAGAGTAGAAGTGGGTCTTGTATCACAGCTGAGCTCTAACGAGCCAATCCGTAAGGTACACCATACTGCGTGGCCGTCGTGGTCACGCGTGGCTATGGTGAAGAGGTTCGTGACATGTTCGCGTTTGTGACATGTCGGCTAGAGTGAAGCATGTTTGCGTGGGACGATATGAGGAAGTTTCCAGAGTGTGATGGATGTAGTCGGCTGCGTCGACATTGAAAACAGAAGGTCAGTGGTAACGTGATGAAGTAAATCCAAGCTTGGACGTCTGTCGGTTCACCACTTGGTATGGGGAAGGAGGAGAGTTCGAGAGGGCGACTAAGCCGGGCGGTGCCGTGTGCTGCCGAACCTCGGCACAGACGTCAGAGCGCGTATCCTCCACATCCCGCCGCCCGCATCTTAGCCACGGAACTGATGCCGCCATGTGACAACCACGCTTCTGCTCGTTAGAGTCCTTTTCTCCGCATTCTCAGTATAGTTCGAGCTTTTTGAATATTGTCATTCAGCCATGTCATCTTCTGCCCTCCGCACATCCATGAGAATGGCTTCGCGGCCTCAACAACGGCTGGCCAGCATCCAAAGGCAGTTCAGTAGCTCTGCGCCGCAAAGGAAAGAAATTAGAGATGCATACATTATAAGTGCCAGCCGAACGCCAACTGCAGTGGTTAGTAGAGCATCATCCCAGGCCATGCCAGCTGCTAAACACGTTATAGTTCAATGGCAACTTCACTACCGTATCCGCGACTCAACTCGGCGCCACAGCCATCAAGTCCGCCCTCGAAAAGTCGAAAGTCCCAATCTCCTCAATCGATGCCGTCTACATGGGCAACGTCCTCTCCGGAGGCGTCGGACAAGCACCAGCGCGTCAAGCTGCCATCTTCGCCGGCCTACCCACCAACATCGAAGCCACGACCATCAACAAAGTATGCGCATCGGGTCTCAAGGCAGTCAACATCGCCGCCTCGACCATCGAGCTCGGACAAGCGGAAGCGCAAGTTGCAGGAGGCATGGAGAACATGACCAGAGTACCATACTATCTGAACCGAGCAAGCCAACAACCAGCATTCGGCCACCAGAAGCTGCAAGACGGCCTGATCGCCGACGGACTATGGGATGTCTACAACCAGATCCACATGGGCAACTGTGCGGAGAACACAGCCAAGAAGTACGAAGTCTCAAGGCAGGACCAGGACGACTACGCAATCGAGACCTACAAGCGCGCACAGCAGGCATACAAGGACGGACTCTTCAAGGAAGAAATCGTCCCGGTCACTGTCAAGTCGAAGAAGGGCGAGACAATCATCTCCGAGGACGAGCAGTACAACAAGCTGAAGCTGGACAAGGTCTCCACACTGAAGCCAGCGTTCGAGAAGGGGCCAGACGGCTCAGTCACAGCTGCGAACAGCTCCCCTCTCAGTGACGGTGCCTCAGCACTGATACTAGGAAGCAAGGAAATCGCCCAGAAATACGGCAAGGACAGCCGCGTACTAGCAAAGGTAGTCACCTACGCTGATGCCGCTGTTGGTGCGTACCCCCATCCTCCTACCACCACCCACCCTTACTAACACCACCTAGACCCCATCGACTTCCCCGTCGCCCCCGCCTCCTGCGTCGAGAAGCTGCTCAAGCAATCCGGCCTCTCAAAGAACGACATCGCCATCTGGGAGTTCAACGAGGCCTTCGCCGCCGTCATCAAGGCCAACGCCAAGATCCTCGGTCTCGGCACCGACAATGTAAACCCAAGGGGAGGTGCTATTGCTCTGGGACACGCACTGGGTAGCTCTGGAAGCAGGATATTGGTTACACTGCTGCATCAGCTGCAGGTTGGACAGTATGGCGCTGCTGTTATCTGTAATGGAGGCGGCGCGGCGTCAGGTATTATTGTGCAGAGAGTCAGCGCGGATCAACTTTAGAGATATACGAAAGTATGGTATGTAACTCAAATAACAAAAAGAAGCTCTTGAACGATGCAAAAAGTCCATTCGTACATACAGCGTTGTTGTCACAAAAACCCCTCCCACATCTTCTGACCCAAAGGCCTTACCGCACACCCATCTCCAACAGCAACACCCTTGCTTCTGCCTCTATGTCGCACAACCCAGCAAAAAAGAAACTCGACGTTGGCCAGACTCGAACTGACGCTCCCTAAGGAATTAGATTTCAAGTCTAACGCGATAACCACTCTAGAAACCCAGAATTAGTAAGCAGTTATGTGATGGGGATAGAAGAGGAGCTTACCCGCCACAACGCCAGGATGATGTTTGGTGATTGATGATGTCATCGCGAATTTTATGGTAAATACAATGAAGAAACTGAAAGTGTTGAGAAAGAATAATTAGGAAGTAAGATTTAGTTGTGTAAGATTATGAATTGTAGGGTAGAATATGCGGTGAGTTGGCGGCTACGTATATGTGGTGTGATGGGTGCGTGCGTGGTGGAACGCGGGACAATGACGAGAGGTTATGTAAGAAGACGGAAGTGGTAATGAGAATATCGGAAAGGGATGTTGGGATATAGCAAGGGATGTGCGATGTAATTATGATCATTAGATCTGTATCTCTGCGTCCACCTTGGCTGCAAAAAGCTAAGATATTTTACCCCGAGTGTACGCCTACATTCCCGAGCCCGAAGAAAACAAAGAATTCTTTCACCATATGGAAGGAAAATGATCATCAAATGACAGCCTGAGAGCCATCAACCTCATACCTGGTTAAGACCCATATCCATATCCGTATCCAAATCCATAGCAAAGTCCATATCATCCCAGGGCATCGCATCAGTACCCTCAACAGCCGCCATACTAACACCAGTGGTCGTGATAGGAATAGTAGAATCAAAGTCCGCGCTGCTCGTTGGGTTCTGAAAATCCTCTGGCAGTTGATCCCACGATGGGAATTGGAAGTCGTCGACAGTAGGCCCACCCGTAGTCAAACCGTCAACCGTGGGCTGTTCGCTAGCGCTGGATGTGAACGGCATCAGATGCGCAGTCGAATCATCGAGCCAGTACCTCCTCTTCGGTAACCCAGCAGTCTTGATCGAGAAGCCGATCTCGCCTTGCTCGCCGAGACAAGTACCGGCTCCTGTGCACGCGAGTTCTGAGATGGGCTCACAGAAACCTAGCAAGTTGTCTGCGCTCGAAGTCGTTGTGATGGGAGCGTACGATGCTGGTGATGTAGGCGATCCGGTTAGTCCTGGTACGCTGTAGGGTGTTTGGCGACCCGAGGAGAGTTGTCGCGCATGTCCTTGGACGGCGCCTACCGAGCCAGATAGCGCGAATTCGTAAGATAGGGCGCGCAAAGGATCGTTCTGCGACATCGAGGTGCAGGCGAAGTTGCTCACGTCGAAGCTTGGATCTAATGCGGAGCCGTAGTTGATGCCGAGGTCTTCGAATATTTCGTGTTCTCCGTTGATGTCTGTCTTGATGTCAGCCACACGTTTTTAAGCATACAGGAATAGATTTCACATACTCTTTACTGGGGTTTGGCAGTTGATGCCATGGGCCTTCTTGAATAGATTCAGCCATTCGGGGTTGTCCGCAGATGTTTGGTTCCATGGATCATCGTCATCGTAGAGGATACGACGTGACTCTGCTTGCAACACCTCGTCGGTCAAGTTTGCGGAGCCATGCTTTGCGATGTGCTCTCGTGCGAAGCGGCCCAGCTGCAGTGTGAGGATCTCCCAGCAGGTTGCGTTTGGGTTGTCAACGAGGGACTTGGAAGGAGAATAGTCTTTCGGTGTCGTCAGGACGATGGGTCCGATAGTAGAGGGATCGCTGCCAGGTTGGTATGCCGCAGACACGTTGTTCGTGTAGTCGATATCATCAACGTTGGGTAAAAGGTATTCAAGGTCCTTGCTGTCGACGGATAGATTAAGCTGCTGTTGACAAGTCAGCCTGTTGTGCGCAGTCCACATGATCGCCACAATGGTACGTACCTTGAGGCTCGCAGTGTTGGATGCTGAGAATGGGAATGGCGATTTGCTTTCGTTGGCGATGAGATAAGGTGGCATCGCGTTCGTGACGTGGATAGCGACATGGGGGTCTAAGCCCCTGCATCCCTTCCAGTTCTTCATGTGTGCGCCGTTGCGGAACTCTTTCGCCAAATGGTCGAGGCGGTCTTGCCACTTGTCAAAGTTCATCCCGCAAAAGCCGCAACGAGATTTGATGTATTGGGCTTCTGACTTCCATGTGTCCATACTGGAGGTCATCTTGCAACCGTGCATGAGTCGTAGGTGTTGTCGAAGATGGTCTTTCCGGTAAAAGGTGCGGGACTCTGGGCCCTTCTCGTAACAGGCGGAGTGGTTGTGCGTGGCCAAATGCTCTTTGCTGGGGTCTAGCTCATCGCAGTATACGCATCGGGGCTTTCCGGTAGCTTTGTCGGCGACAATCTCACCCAGAGGTGCACATAGCCACTTCTCCAGTGATAAATGAAGACTCTTCTCGTGCCGTGACCTGTGATTTATTAGCTTGTTGTCCTTTGTCACATTTGACGTCCGCATGGTATCATGGGTGTGTTGACTGAGCAAGAAGAAGACCACACGACGAGCACGTGGGGTGGTGGGAGGACTACGATGCGTTCAAAGAGGCCTGAATCGATGGTGAAGGAGATTGTCGGCCCCAAAGTGGCCGTTGCATCGCGAACATATAGGAACAAACTCACCAATCATATTTGGACTTGAAAGTGTCAGTGCAGAACGTGCACTGAAAGATACGTTGCCCTTCGTCAGGACCGGCTTTTGGCGCTCGCGTGGGAATGCGACGACGCCTTCGCCTCTCCTTGGACTTCAGGCTGTTCAACGAGCCGAGGGAGTGACGCGAACCGTGCGAGTAGGCTGAGTTGTGAGACCCAAAGGAGCCAGACGATACGTTGGTAGGGCGGGTCTCCAATGAGGAGATAGAGGGTGCCCTGAATACCGAGAAGCTTCCGGTGCTATCATTAGAGATATCCTTGCGATAGCTACTACTCGAGCTCTCCGTTTGAGGCAGGTCGAAAGTCTCAACAGCGTGCGCGATAGCGTTCATCGGCGCAGGTTCGTTCTCAGGAGGAGAGTGCTTCCATCGTTCGAACGGATCTGTCGAGAGTTAACCGAAACATTCCTGCTGCTGAAGCACCGGCATTTGAGCCATTGTGCTAGTGTCTGGGTCCCTGTCTCTATCTTCTGAACGCCTGTCACCCACCCGGAAAGTGAGGAACTTTCCGGTGGATGACGAAGCCAGAGTTTTGTGCGATCTTGTGAAACCAGACTCGGAATACGTACTCATGCTTTCCCAGGTCTTGCCTGCTGGGATGTTGATAGCTCCTGTTGATGGTCGGAGACTTGGCGAAGCGCTTCGCTTGGGTCGAGCCTTCTGCCTTCGCCTTGTGTTCGCCATCCAGTTCGAGATTTGACCGACCGATAGGCCAGTCTCTTGCTTCAGCGTCTCTTTCTCCTCGTCGGTCGGGTATGGATGATCGATATGCATGAGCATCCAGTCTTTGAGCACTTTCACAGCCGCTCGTGGAAAGCGAGCAGCTGCGGCACCCTTCTTGGGACCTTCGTCATCCTCTTTTCCATCTTCGATCGGACCCAGGTGACCTAGCGATCGCATCTGCTTCTTACCAGTGAGACCACCGACATGTCGAATGTCGTTCTCTGCCACGACGTCTAAGGTATCCAGCGCAGTCCTCTGGCGCATACCTGGCATCCGCTCAGGGTTGCTGAAGCTGCATGGTCGAAACAAAGCGTTGCATGGCGAACATCCGGATCGCTTGGAGCCATCGGCGTTGAAGATAAAGCATTCGAGAGATTTTGATCGACAGTACTCGCAAGGCTGAACAGCCTTTTGATAAGTCGGAAGCCAGCTGCTGAAGTTCGTATTGAACTCTGCACTTGCGGGTTGGATACTGTCGGAGTTCTCCAGCTCTCCAGGTTCATCCAGTAAAGAGCTAGTTGGTGTCAGAACCATACACGCAGATCTTGGAAAATGCAAACCGCGATCCTTGCTATTGTGCAAGTATACAAGTTTGAGGTCGGAGTATATGACCGGATAGGATACAAGGGACACTCACTTCTGGGGTAGTGCCGTCTCAGACACGCCGAAAGAAGCTTCTTGTGACACGTCGGGCATGCCTGTTTCTCCGAAATCGACAAAGTCTGCAATATCAAAGGCGGCACTAGGCGTCGCCATGATGGTGGCGCGTGGTCCGGCTTGCAAGATCAATCAATCGTATTGGTTGGTGCCAATGGCTCGTGAGGGGAAAGAAGACAAATGCGCGCCCTCCGTACAGATTTGACAATAAGGCGCAAGATGTCGTTGCGGAAGTATGGTTGCTAAGTATGACTGCTGGCTTGGACTCATCTTTAGGACCATGCCCAAGAAAGCACTGCACACTTTCTACGGACGCTAAACCGTATTCTGAAGGATGTCGAGTTGAAGGGCGCAGTCCGTGCGCGTGCAGGATACAGATTAGCCAGTCTTGAGCGGCCTAGTCATCCGATAGAGAACACATTCGTACCGCTGAGTCATTAGCATGACATCGCGGTGATGGACACTCGATGCGGAGGCTGGAGGTGAACAATTGATCAGGACGTATGCACAACTTGATGGAAGTCGACGTCGTTTCAAAGCCTCCTACACAGTTTTGCGAGGATGTGAGACGTTGCGACAGTCCAAGAATACAAAGACGCGAATATTACCGGGCTATTGAACCCCAGCAAAGCTGAAGCTGACATACCCCACATCGGTTCTGCGCGATGCACGAACATGGCAGAAGTCATCCTCTAGCTCTTGTGGCAGGTTTGCAATTGGTCGTCGAGGATCTAGAAGATAGCAGACCGTTCGGGCGCACTGCATGTTGGAATGGGGTGCCGCTCCAGGCTCGGAAGACTTTGCGGAGGATGCGAAATCGGCAACCGCAGCCGTCACGTATCGAAATATGCACGCCATGCAGCCAGCGGTCAACTGGCACCGTTCATCGGGGGTTTGCGAAAGTCGGCGAAAATTTGAACGTCGGGACCGAAGGATTGGCGGCTGCTCGGGAGGACTTGACCCGTCCAGCACGCGGAGGCTGCCATCTTAAATAGGGCCCAGGCGGTAGAACGTGATGATAGTTGTGGACTGACGTTCACAGAAGCGCATGGAGTTTATTGTTGTTCTCACGGATGAAAGAAGCTAGCTTTGGAAAGAGTGACGCGTGACGTCACGAAGCCTGCCGTGTTAGGGAGGCACCTACAGAACATAACAACAGAACATCTGCCAGACTTAGTGGTCAACAAACGTATCGAAGTCGCTCTTTTCCTTGAAGCTGTACATGACTTCTGCAGACTTCATCTCACTCACTCAAAGTACGGGTATCCCACGCACAGGTTTCTCCAATCCCTGGGCCACTCAGCCTACCTCGCGCACCAGGAAGTCCAAGCGATACGGAGCATCAACCGCCCATAGATCAGGCATATACCGGAACGAGCTGAGATTAGAACTGACGGTGAGTCGACATCGCTTAATGCTTAACAACTCAAGCAAATCGCGAACAGCGCATAGGTGACGCCCTGAAGCACCCAACCATCCGTCTCACGTTGCTTTTCAGGTACCACAATGATGCATATCACTCATATGTCACGTCCCTGATAGCTTTGGATACGGAGCACACTTGCGCTGGTCCTGATCGGAGAGCATCGAGGGGTTGGACAAGGCTGGAAGCGAAGGCGGGGTAACCTGATGCGAAGATCGAGTACTGACATGTGCCACGCAGACACATTCACGATCAAGGCTGTCCTCCACCACCATAAGACGGTGAAGCATAGTAGTCGACATGTGCCTAGCTTCCGATGGACTCCTCGGACTTTGGACTGTTATATGTAGACAGCCTTGGCATAGCGCGAGGTTGGGTGTCGAGCGGACCTTAGCGATTCTGCCAACTCATAACGCATCCGCACGTCTGTCCAATACATCAATCCGCCCATAAGCTGCCCGAAGCTAGCCAGTCCCCGTCACTGGCATCCACATTGCTCGTCATGTAACATGTCACTTGTCACCGCCTGTGCCTGATTACCCAAGCGCGAGCATCCGCCTAGGGCTTGTTTTAAACCGACGATACTCCATACCGCAGCCTCACTCTGCCTCTGCAGCGAGCTCCGAGGCAGCTTCTTAACGTGTACGGCCCACTCTGGACCGACGATGATTAGCAGTGGCTCACCAATTTGCTACCCACGAAATGGATGCAGCTCCCAACTGTGCCATCTGCAATGCGCCGCCGTATCCTGAATGCTCCTGCGAGTCGGAGCGGCTACAAATAGCCGTCAAGCAGGCTGAGGCGCGTGCTATGGAAGATCGCATGGCTGAGATACGGTATGATCCAGATACGCTCCTTGCAGTACCTGCTGACCATGTATAGAGACTGGGTAATCAACAATGCGCGCCAGCATATCCTCAACGCATTCGAAAGATTGACCTCGACACGCAAGCAAGCGCACTCATCATACCTAGCCTCCCTCCCGAACTACGAGGTCTACATGCGATACTCTGGCCACCCGCCGATACACCCCATGTACGTTGCGACGTTGCAGACACAGATCGCAGAGGCGCACGCGGAACTCAAGCGCGGTATCGACGCTGACTGGCGCGCATCGGTACTGCGATACCCAGAAGTGCTGGACTACTTCTACAGCCTTGTCGAGCTCAGACTGCCGGACGATCGCTCTCGAGAAGTCGTTGAACCACCCTTCGCCGCGGCAGGCTACGCGGATGTTGGCTACGGAGTCAAACAGAAGAAGAAGAAGCGACGAGAAAGGGAGGGATCAGTGCCGCAGCAACACATGGCTCTCAGAGTGATGCGTGGAGTGCCACCTCCTGCTGTGCCGACTCCGCCAATCCACCACAATGGGTCGTATCCTCGACCGCCCGATCCCTACGGATACTAAGTCGCTGGACGTCTGCTTTCTTTCCGTTTGTTTTCTATGCTCAATTCATTACGTCCTGTCACGTTCACCGGAAAGGATGGTAGTGGGTAGTACTGCTGTTGCAGGCATGAAACGCCTTCGAAGCAATGAAAAACCCAGGAGTGGCACAGACATACTGTCGCATGTACTGGCGCTATGAAGTTGGTCGCGTTTCTGGTATTGCGACCGCTCTATATTCACAAGCGAAATCAAGCATAGCGAGGAGTGTTCGTTCATAGGAGTTTCGTTCGCAGCGGGTACTATCAGATCTTCAACATGTACCTGAACCTGAATCTACTCCTGTAGTTTACTCGAATACAATCAAAGTTCGATGATTCTTCAGTATGATGTCGGGCGATAGCGAGTAGCACATGCCTAAGGCACCTTCCGCTACGTAAGTCCGTGCACCCATGGTTTGGAAAGTCGCGACCTGAGCTTGTAGAAATCCTTAGGCACATCACCACCAACCTGACCACACAAATTCCGTACGGTACCACGCGACTTACTGAATAAATTGACAGTCGCCTAACTCTGAAAAATCGACCGACACATACACGCGATCGCAAACAGCGTATTTGACCGAGTCGCCCATCATGAGCGGAAAAGCAGGCGCATACGGAACGTCTGGCGGCGGCGACACAGACTTCAGGAAAACATGGGATCGCGACGAGATGGCACAGCGGGCGAAGGACAGGGAGGCAAAAGATCGCGAAGAGGGCAAAGGGCGATATGAGGCAAAGCTGGCGGGCAAGACATACAGGCGGAGGGCGTCCACGCCTGATGATCTGAAGCAGACTGAGGCCAGAGCAGAGCGCATAGATTGGAGCAAGATGATCGGAAAGCAAACCCTCACATCAGCAGCAGCCGCTGTTGGCAAGAGGGGACGTGGTGCGGGCGCATACTGTCAAGCCTGCGACCTTACATTCAAGTACGTTTCTACTGTCGCAAACCTGAAACCTATGAACTATGCTAATAGCTATCAGGGACAATATCCAGTACGTCGAGCATCTGAATAGCAAGCAACATTTGGTTGCGACGGGCCAGTCGGGCGAAGTCCACCGCGCGACAGTCCACGAAGTACGGGAACGCCTACGATACCTCAAGCGCAAACGGGACGAGGACAAGTTTATGGAGGTGACAGATCTGGACGCGAGGTTAGCGATGACCAAGGAGCAACTGGAGAAGGACGCCGAGGAGAAGAGGCGGCTGCGCAATGAGAAGCGCAGGGCGAAGAAGAAGACGGATGCGACTGCTATGGAGTGGAAGGTCGAGGGTGATGGCATCATCCGCTGAACACCATGGGCTCTCGATTCGCAGACTACACTTTGGCACTGAGACCGATCAATGCGCATATGGGGGTCTACTATAAGCCTACGTCGGGTTGGTCTCTTGGAACGCTCAGGCTGCGTCGTCTTCGGAGCTTGTAAGAAACCGCCTTGCCCAGCCCTGGCGAACCGCATGCACCACTAGGCACAGTTCTCTTCCGCCGATCTTGCGGACCTTTCATGTTAAGATTCGGTCATCATGCAACGTTGTCTTCCGCCGAGCTTTCGCTCATCAGGCATCCAACCTTTCATGACACGGAGCTCCGGGCAAAAAGGCTCGGGGGTTAGGCGCACGACGTCGCGGACGGCAACGGCATACCCCACACATCAGCATCGCCCCCTCCCAGCACACCGGACGTAATACATCAGCGTGCTGATTTCTAAGCCCAACACCGAGTTGCGATATTAACTATAGCAACATAAATAAACACCGTTTCTCTCAGAAGCGCTTCTTAGTTCTGCATCAGTCAAGCTTCACACTTGGCATTTCTATTCGTATCTTCCGCGTATTCGCCCCGCATTCTCAGCCGCATTGTCACCTAGCGCTGACATCATCTTCGGCGTTCTACATCAATCGCTATGGCTCAAGTCAATGGAAATGCGCCCAAGATCACGCTTTACACTAATCATCGCTGTCCTTGGGCGCATCGAGCTCACGTGGTGCTGAAGGAGTTGGGGCTTCCTTATGAGGAGGTCATCATTGATTTGGGTAAACCGAGGGAGCCGTGGTATCTTGAGATCAACCCTGTAAGTTAGCCTTGTTTCCTTTCATCCAAGTATCACTATTCTGCACCTGCGAGTTCCTCTTTCGTTCGGGTCACTAACACCTCCCAGCGCGGTCTCGTTCCCGCGATCAACTTCAATGGCGAAATCATCACAGAGTCCGGCGTCGTCGCAACGTTCCTGGCAGATGCGTACCCCTCAC